CGGCCTCTCAGAGACCCCACGTGCGCCCGCGCCGCGGTCAGGCTCCAGGGGTCCCTGGACTCACCTGCTCGGGCACGGGCTCCTTCCCCAGGTTCCTTCTGTTGTTGTTTTATTGCTGGTTTATTATACTGTACAGACCACAAAATCTAATACTATTTTGTACAACTACTCAAGGAAATCCCTGTAGAGCTCTGTGCCTTGGTAACGGCCACCCCCGTAGAAGAAATGTGTTTTTGTTGTGCTGAACAGCTAACTGTCAACATCCCCTGCCGCTTGCTCTGAAAACAGGAATGAATGGTGTATTAGAATTTAGGACACTTTACCAGGTTGGTACTTTTTACAATACTCCTGGATAAAAAAATATATGCCCATATAAATTTATCTAAATATAAACTATACACGTAGTCACCCGCACCTCACGAAACGCCGCACCCACACCACAGCTTCTTCCGGGGACCCAGGGGTGGTGTTTTTCTCTAGACAATGTGTCTCCATTATTTCACTCTTTGAAAACTGTTAGTCAAAGCTTTGGAACCACTTACTTGACCCCAGGTTCCATCGTAAACAAATAGCAGGAAAAAGACAAGGGTTCAGGCTTGTGCCTGGCCGTGGAGAATCGAAGGAGGGACTCTTACTTGCCTTTTGAAGAAGAAACATTACAAAACCTTTACTGAAATACCAAGTCAAAATACACGGCTATTTTTCAAACTTGAGAGATCAGCAGATGCAGCCTCGCAAGGTGGCTCCAGTACGAGACCCAGAAAGCCCCTCATGCTGGGCCACGGCCCTGAGGGGGGCTTCCCCAGGTCAGGCAGTCTGTGAAGATGTCCGAGGTTCTACTCCAACCACACGAAGCAGAGAGGAGGCAGCCCAGCCTACGTGACTTCATCGACTTCATTTAGTCTTTGATAGTTTCAAGTTTTCTCTGTAAACCAGCATCTTGTAATCCTCTGTAAACTCATCCACGGCTAAATACAACTTTTACACGAAATACAGGATGGCGACGTCAAAGACAACACACCATCACGTTTTTTATCTCATTATCACCCAGTTCCTGCCTCTCCCATCCTTGCCTGTTTCATAAAACTCTCAGGTGAACGGAGACAGATGAAGTAGGAATGATTTTCCATTTCCATTGCATTTTCGAAGTAAAACATGAAGAAAACATGAAGAGATACAACCCAACATATATACACAAAAAACAGAGTTGTATATTGTTCTCCGCATCACTCAGCAATCCCCTGTAAGTGAACTTCCTATGTAAAGGTCTGACTGAGGAGCCAGACTCTCAAGGAAAAAATGCAACAAGAATCCACTTTACCTGGCTTAAAATTACCAAGGCATACATATTTTTAAATACCAAACGCCTCTTCCTGGAGGCTACTTTTCAAGTTTCTTTTGCTCACTGACGGGCATTTGATCCTGACTTAACAGTCGGGTCTGCTGGAGAGAAAATGACACTCATCTAAAAACCCGATTCCATCCAGTTAGCGTGGACACACAGGAGTCTGCGGGAACAGCTATTCCTGCTTGTAGCATCTGGGTTTATTTGAAGCGTCTGACTAGCACAGGTAGGAACTTGAGAACCACCCGCAGGACCACTGATGGTGTCACCTCACCCCAAGCCTGCCGGTGCCGACTGGGGAACACAGGCTGTCGCATGCACGCCAGTGACGCCCGCAGCTTCTGCGAGCTGTAGATACAATCCGTGATTACACACATCTTTGATGAAGTGAGAGCACAGACTCTGGAGAGTGCACGCTCCATCGTGACAGCATGGGAACAGCACCAGCAGCTCACCCTCACCCCGCGGGGATCGGCCCAGGGGTCTAGCTCCCGAGTGGCACTCAGTCTCACTCCCCGGAGCACCGCCTGCTGGTCAGCTCCTCTGGTCTTGATGCCTGTTACTCACGTGGTCTTAAATTTTCTGAGCAGGTTCCAACCCACGTGCAGAGGTGAGGCCAGCAGCCTCACATGGACTAGCGTGAGGACCACGAGGCACGCAGCCGCTCCGCAGTACGTGGTCAGGACTGTGTCCTCGCGGGGCATGGGGCACTTGGCCAGGACGTAGTCTGTGGGCGTAAAGCTGCCCTGGGAAGGAAGCGAGGACAGGCAGGCAGCCAGGTCTTCAGACCAAGGGCACGGGCTCCAGCCCACACCACCCCAACCCCAAGCCCTGCGCCCGAGTGTGCTGAGTGCGGGTGGTCCGGGAGCTGACCCCCCTCAATGAAACTAGCTCCTGGTTCCTCCGAAACCAGGGCAGGCAAGAGGGGATCAGAGAGGCAGGGGACTTAGATCAACGGTCAACAAGGAGCAGGCAGGGCATGGCGGCTTTTCAGGCCACTCGATGCTGAAATGCGTGTGCTGGGGGCAGCCTGGTGGGCAGTGTATTTTGGTGGACACTCTTGCCGTGCGGAGTGACAGTGGGGAACGTTCACTGACTGAATTTGGAAAAAAGGAGGTTTGTCCCATCTTTTTATGAAGTAAAGGCACCTGACATAAAAGCACTGTGACCCGGATGCTGGACTCCTGGGTCAGAGAGAGGAGCCGACCCACAGTGGGTCACTAGTTACCATGTGTCATAAACATGCAAGGGCTGGCCCATTTTTCTGCTGGAGCAAATGGGCATATTTGGAAGCTAAGGCGAGGTGACTGGGTGCAGCGAATGAAGGAAAATGACCCTGCTTCCTTGGAGAATTGAACAGGCTGAGCTGGCACTGCCGTCCCTGCAGGGTAAGACACTGTGAGGCTCCCCCCCCCCGGAACAACCATCCCCAGAGAGGTGTCCACGCTGGTGTGTCTGGGGAGAGGGGCACTTGCGTGCGGCTTTTGTGTATTTCCACAGATTGCAGTAAGTACATAGTTCATCGCTGTGTTGATTTAAATACGTACGGAAGCTTTGAGACGAAAATAAACGTTCACCTACCATGATGAAACTGGGGTCATTTCTGTTCCTCCAACTGAACGACGGCACGCTGACCTCCAGGACGCCGGCCCCGTGGAGGACCTCGCAGGCATGGTGCGTGTGGCCGCTCAGGACCAGGCGTGGCCGGAGCCACCACAGCAGCTGCCCAGGGACGGCAGAGGCGGTGAGGGCATGGCCACCTCCCTGCAGGGACAGGGCCACCACCACCCACCCCGCCCCGTCCAGGGACCCCCCTGCACTCAGCCCTCCAGAGCCTTCTGTCTGCTCAGACTCCATCAAAAGTGAGCTCAGGGCAGGGAGGGTGGAGCTCAGGGGCCGAGCGTAGGGTCCTGGGTTCCCTCCCTAGTACCCCATTAAATAAATAAATAAATCTGATTACCTCCCCCCAAAGAGGTAACTCTAAGTCTCATTTGCACCCCCAAATACATGTAACTTGGCGGGAAAACACAATAAAGAACACTTAGGAGTAGTCATTTTTTTTTCCTTTTTTACGGAGGTACTAGGGATTGAACCCAGGACCTTGCTCTACAGCTGAGCTGTACCCTCTCCCCCCTAAGAGTTTCATTAACCAGACGTTAGGGGAGGGAGGTGAGTTTCCTGGGGCAGGGCAGGGCGAGGGAGGGGACACGCGATGGAATGACCATCCGGGACACTGCCCATCCCGCCCAGTGTCGCCGCCCGCCCCAGGAAGTCTGACTCCACGCCCCGCCAGGCACAAACCTTCCTGGAGGCCTCCCGGGAGAGCACGTCATACCGCTCCTGGAAGGGGATACCCCTCTCGGCCGGGGGTGCGGCGTCCTCCCCAGAGCAGTGAGCGTCGCTTCTCCGGTAAAGCGGGAAGTGCTGTCCAGGACCAGAGAAGAGTCAGGGGACAGCAAGGCCCTGGGCGCGTCCACTGCACTTGGGGAGGCACCCTCACCTGCAGAAGGACTGGGGCCGAGGCTGGCAGCGGCCCTCTGTCTCCACACCTGCCGGGGTGATGCTCCTGCTGGTCAGAGAAGCCCTGCGGTCACTGGACGGTGGGAGGGACAGGGGCAGCCCAGGGTGCGGGCACTGGGCCAGGTGGCTGGATGGTGGGCAGGGCAGAGGGAGCCCGGGGGGCGCTGGGCCCCGCAGGCTGTCCTACCTCCTGGGAGCAGTTCAGCTGCTGGGAGATCTCCAGGAGCTCTGCCTCAGCTCCAGAGCAGATGTCACAGCCGTCTCCTTCCATGGCCACGCTGTTGACCAGCACGAAACTGCAGAAAGGGCAGGGAGTCAGGCCACGGGCCGCCTGCCTTGTCCACCCGGGACACGCGTCCCCATGGGAAGGAAGCTTTAAGTCTCTGCTCAGCCAGGCTGTGTGCGCGTGCCAAGCTGACATTAAGGGAACAGAACAGCCTTTCTGGGCGTGGCGTCCAAGTCAGGGTCAAGGAGGCTCCACCCTGAACTTGTGCCGGTCCCAGACACTCCGCACCTGACCTTGTCCCTGGGCCTGTGTCTTAGCACCTTGGGCCTCGGCTGTAAACCAGGCCGGACAGGACGTGGGTCTGAGTCAGCACGCAGTCCCCTCTGAAAAAGTTTCCAGGGGCGAGGGGCCTCCATAAGAATTCACAAATACTACTCACTCAAAGTACTATATATAATAAAAAGGCCCTACTCTAGAGCACAGGGAATTAAATTCAGTGTCTTGTAACAACCTTTAGTGAAAGATATGAAAAGAGGTATCTGTGTGTGTATGCCCGGGACATGCTGCTGTGCCCCAGAAACGATGCAACATTGTAAACTGACTAGACTTCAATTAAAAAAAATGTGTATATTACAAAAATAGTAATACTCACTTAATTCCTTTCCAAGAAAACAGCCTTTCGGGGTTGAAAACTTTCTCAAATCGTTTTATTTTGTATGTGTTCATCCTACATTCAATTGCAAAAAGAAGCAGTTTTTTGAAACAAGCCATCTTGAAACCTCTTAAGAATTATCCTGAACACGGAAAAGTCACTTTCCAGATTGGGGTGCCAGCCCTTCTGAGCTCCCACTGGTCCCACTGCTGAGCGAGCTGGGGGCCGGGCCAGTGACTTAGTCCTCAGGGCCTCGGCCTCCTCCCTGGTACAAAGGGCAAAAGTACAGGCCCAATGGTAACATAATAAAACCTAAGAAGTAAAATAAAAGATACGCTCTGTGTAAATATTAGCTATTACAGCCCACGTCGTCTTGTTCTCTGACACCCAAGGAAAACGTAAGCGACCACGAGACATAAGAGTCAAGTCAGAGTCACTCACGGGCACCTCAATCGCCCGTCCGCTGCCAGAGCCCTGGGGGCCTCCCCCACCCCAGCTGCCTCCTCTCGGCCCAGGGCGGCGCCCACAGTGGTGAAGTCGCAGCCCCTGCGGCCGTGACGCTGGGTCACTCACTGGTAGTGGAAGCCAACATCGTGGTTGCCGGCGACCACCCTCAGCTGCACGTGAGCAGGGTGTCGGAACATGGTCTGGAACCTCTCCACGTCGTCCGCCCAGGCCTGTGGGGAGGGGTCCTGCTGAGACCCGGGCACCTGCCCTGCCCCAACTGGACGGGGAGAAGGTGACCCCATCCAGATGGGTGTTCCTGAGGCCAGCATGCAGAATTCTAACCCAAGTCCCACCTCTTTTTCCAACACTCAATAGTTACTGTAACTATTTAATCTGAAGCCAAATTTTAATGAAATGGTATCTCTCCATCTTAAAACATTAACTGGCGCTCCTCCAAACCCACTATTTCCTGGTCCCCTGACGACCATGTGCGGACCCTGGGCTGAGGATCCCTTTGCATCCAGACTGGTCCTAAGAACAGGCTCTGAGGCCCCTGAGGTGTCCAGTACTGTGTGCTCTCCCACGGGACAGGGACCGGCCCTCCCCTGGTGGCTGGACGGCAGGACGGGGCGGAAAGAAAGACAAAAGCCCAGTAAATCTCTCAGGATGTTTCTGACTTTGGCTTTAACTGTGAAAGCTTGAGAACGATGTCCATTTAATTCTTATTTTTATTAAGCCTGAAAACAAAAACGGGGCAAACACTCTAGGTTGGACAACCCCTCATTGAATAGTAGTCACCTTTATCCTTCAAATTTTAAATTCGGCCCAGCCTAGGGAAATATGCTGGCTAGAGGGTCCTCCGATACATTTACCAAGACTTTGACAAGTAATATTTAAAGTTAGAATAACCTAACATCAGAATAACATAAAATGAGAAAAACAGAAAATGTTCCCTGTAATTTGCAAAGGCAACATCTACGTCCAACCTCATTTGCTAACTCATGGCTTTTAGCCGTGGCGTGTCCACAGCCCGAGAGTCACCGCGGACAGGACGGCAGCAGACTCTGCGGCCCTGCAGTGCGGGTTCCTATCAGACCTGGACCAAGACTTTCTTCGTACAGCTTTTAGATTGTCCTGGGAAATTTCAATGAATTTTTTTTAATATCTTCCAAAACCATTAGTGACTGAACATCTTTAACTAAGGAGGAAGAACAGCTTCTTGTATTTTTTTCTTTCATTAATCCCAAGACTGTACTGAGCAAAGCATTCTGACAGCCAAGGTGAGAACAGGCTTTCCCTTTGGTTTGTGGGAAGGCTGACGTCACCTGGTCTCAGGCCCCTGAGACCCCATCACACCAAGCCCAGGTCCCTCTCAAACCCCTCAGAAGAAGGAACATCAGGGGACAGTAACAGGCAACCTTGTGGCACAAGCTCCTAACGCAGCCGTTAAGGAAGCAGGGACAGTCAGACTACACTTCGTTTATTCTCTAATTCCAGGGACAGCTGAAGTAGCACCCCTCCTGCCTGCCTGACCCCTCCCGAGAGGTTCGTGGGAACACGGCGTCCGGCTAATCTGCATATTTCCTACATAGACAGGTGTAAGACTGGCCAACCTAACTCAAGACTGGCCCTAACACAGAACCTAAGATCTTCAAGACAGACTATCCACTGTGGACATCGGTACTTCCAACCCTCATGACACGGCTGCACGGGTCCCGTGGGCGTCCCGTGCTGGACCCCCAGGGCAGGGCCAGGGCGCCTGGCTGGCAGGGTCCCACCCACCTGGGAGGAGCTCCACTTCCCTTCATCAAGACATCCCCCAGGATGAAGACAACCTCCGGCTGCAGCAGCCACAGCGCCGTCTGGAAGGCTCTCTCCATCTGCCACTCCCTGGAGGCCGACAGACAGGGAAAGCAAGCTCAGCCCGTCTTCTGGGCCATTTAAAAGTGGACCAAGACGTCCCATGGCCCCCTGCTTGGAACAGCCAGAGTCCCCGTCTGCCTCACCGAGGGGGGAAGGGGCCAGGGGACACCCGGGCTGCCCTCCCACACACTTCACACCCCAGGCCTGAGGGCTGAATCCACCTGCCCAAGATGCCCAAAGTGGACTGACTTTGTGCCACACCAAGGAGATGCCAGCACCTCGCTTCTCAAAAGAAACTCGACCTCCTTAAGGCCTTCAGAGCTGGGGGGAGACCAACGAGAAACAGACTGGCCAGCATGAGACCTGGGAGTCCTGCAGACCCCAGACGTACACACGCTCGGCCCAGAGTCGGACCAGCACAGAACAGAGCCTGGGGTTCGGCATCTCACACAGGCCAGGCCCAATGTGCCCGTACCCCACTGGCCAGCGGTCACCTCAAGAATGCTGCCCACTCCCTGGGTCCCTAGTTTGTTGGTAAATGGAGACAGTGAGCCCTGCTCTCACAGGACAGTCCTGGGACGGAACACAAGGGCACACAGTAGGGATCCTAGACCATCAGTGTCTGCCCAGCCAACGCTGCCTCGGCCACCATCCTAAGGCTCCCAGCTGCCTCCCCTACAGGAGGGGGGCTACGTCCGAGGGCAGGTGAAGAGGAGAACCTAGCGTGCACGAGGTCCTGGGTTCAATCCCCAGCACCTCCATTAAAATCAATCAATTAATACACCTGATTGCCTCCCCCAACCCCCCAAAAAATTTAAATAAAGCCAAAAAAAAAGCTCTCTGGAAGGTAACTTTGGTCAGAGGAGCCTCTGAGGCCCACGTGAAGCTCAGCGTGGACACGTCACTCGGCGCCTCACACATACGCTTCTCAGTGTGTCCCAATTTAGTGTTATTCACCCTGGAGAAGAAAGCAGGCAGAAACAGCAGCAGGAGGGCAGGGCAGACCGCCTGCGGGCCTGGCCACACATGAGGCTCCGGAGCCAGGGGAGCCCCAGGCTGGAGGAGGAGAGAGCTCTGGGGCGGACGGCGGTGGCCGCACAGCAGTGCGAGCGTTCTTAACGGCACGGGCGCTCCGCTGAAAGTGGCTGAGGTGGCCGACTGCATGTTATTTCTATTTTAACATAATTTTTTTTAATTAAAAAATATTTTTTTAAGCCTTCCAGTGAGAAAACAGACTAAGCTGTGCAGGTCGAAGTTGTCCCCACATAGGCGGCCACCCAGCTGCTCAGCTCCTCCGGCCACCCGGAGGGGCAAACCCAGGGACTCGGGGCACACTAGAGACAGCGAAGGGGGCCTGCCAACCCTGCCCAGGGGAGAGGGCGCCCCCGCGGACCCCACCCGGGCGCCGGGCATCCTTCCTCACACGGCCCGTGAGGTTTCCCGTGCGAACCCACCTAGACAGGGAGGCAAACGGGCTCGGAGGGCCTGACTGTCCGGAATCACAGGACTCAAACACACGCCCCACTCACAATTCTGGGTCCTTGTCCATGACAGGTGCTCAGTAAATCGTAAGTTAAAGGAAAAGTCAGATGCTCCAAATGTCCTTCTTTGAGGGGAAAATAACAAATAAATGAGTCCCTGAAGCCATGGGGCCGGACTCTCCTGCCTACAGGCCCGCAGAAGGCTCCCTGCTCCCCCTCCTACCTTCGTAATTTGTCCAGCCAGTGGCCTCTCACTGCCCCGAGCAGGTGGGTATCCGCCAAAAACATGGCTCGCAGTGCCGGCTCGGGGGGGCCCCGGCCCCTGCCGTCCGCTGGAGTTTCCACCTCAGGCCAGTGACACCGGATGATCACTCCGTAATAGATCAGAAATTCACAAAACAGAAGCACCGACAAGGTGACAGCCGTGAGTTTCAGCAGCAAGAAAGCCCTCCTCATCGGCGGTCTGCCAGACCCCAGACTGATTGCGGCCATGGTGCGCCCGGAGGAGCCAAGAGTCAAATCCACGCCATCAACACTGACAACAGGTCACCGCGAGGAAACCAGGCTGGGGGAGGTGCAGGTGGCATCCAGGTCGGGGCCATGTGCTGCAGGGAAGAGAAGGACTGGACCATTTACAGTCCTTAATACGGCGCGATCACCACCTCCCTCCATCAAGGGACTAGTTACAGAATCCCACCTACCTCCCGAACGAACAGGACTGTCCCGCTTTCATAAAGACACTGCGTCCGACTGCCTACTGATCACGGCTTTCTAGGCGTCCCCAGGATGGCACGACCAGAATATTCTTCCCACTAAGGGACAAAGTTTGGTCACTACCTTTCAGACAGGAGGGAAGGGGGCAGGGCACAACCATTAAAGGAATGACACAGTAATTAGCACCAAGATGGCAGAAAAGTCAACGCTCAATAGACCTGGAGGCCCCAGATGGCGGGAGATTTGACCTCCAGTGACCTCATGCTCACTGTAATGTATTAGCGTGGGAAATGGCACTCCACAGGTGCCACGGCAGTTCCAAGGCTGACCATAAAAGGCCAAAATGAAGGTGGTGGCCCAGTGCCTGGGAATCCTGCTCCCTCCCCCAAGCAGTTGGAGTGGCCCTCCTACTCATTAGCATGTAGAGTCACCAAGCCCATAAAAGCTAGCCACCCCTCACCGCCCCGTGGCTTCTGACGGCCTACACTCGGTGCACAGAGTGAGCATCTCTCTCAATAAATCTACTTTTGCTCAACTGTGGCTCGCTCCTGAATTCTTTCCTGCATGAAGCCAAGGGCCCACACTTGGCAGGGCGCGTCCAATGCACTCGTCTGGGACCCAGGATGCTGCCATCCTCTCTCGCGGCCCTCCTCTTACGACGTTGCCCCATTTTTTTCCTGTATCACTTTGGAAGTCACTGATCGGCAGTCTGGGGAAGGATGTGTGTTAGGGTAGGGGGCATGACAGGAAAACTCAGGGAATAGCAAGTAAATGCCACTTGGCTCCCCCCAGGATTCACCACCACCCCCTCCTTAAAAATCAAAGGCCATGAGCGCCCCCCCCTGCCCCCCGCCACCCTTTGGTGTGAATTCACCACTTTTCTAAATGGCTTTTCCATAAAAGAAGAGAACATTCACAGACAAGGGGCTTCCTCACTGGCTGAGCTGGGGTCCGACAGCCGCAGTCATGAACTCCGCCCTGCGATTATGCACCTGTTCACAAATGCAGGTTTTCACCTGCAAATCAGCCTTCCACTCTGGGCAGCTTCCACTGGAAGACCTTCACATGCAGTGGCTTCCCTCTGGGAGCCCTCCCAGTGTTTGGGGACGCGTCTGAGTCGTAGCACTTCGCGTCCTGTAGGGAAAGCATCCGTCCTGACACACCTGAAGGGCAGCTGAGGACAGGAGCCCCTGAGACAGGCTCTGGGAGGGGCGTCCTACCTGAGGCCCCCCGAATGATGCTCAAGGTGAGACTCTTAGGACGGGAGGTGGGCCAGAGGCTACAGAGGACGCAGATACGGGAGGCGCTCCAGGAGGCTTGCAGAGGGCGGGGGCTGCACAGACACTGAGCGTGGGTCCAAATGGAGCCAATAAATACAGAAAACCCTCCCCAGGGAGAGAACTTTCCAGGATGCGTCTAGGAGCCTTCTTAGGGTTGACAGCCAAGGGGAAGAAGACACTCACTCCCGGAGGGCCTGGACCAGCGTCTGCAGAGTCCACCCCGAGCCCGAGTCCCGTAAGTCAGCCTGTTCTGCAGAGGGATCATGTAGCAAGCAACCGCCGAAGCGCGGACCAACTAAACCTGCCCTACAGTGAGGAGGGGCAAACGCGTCTTCTGAGCCATCGTCAAAAGTGCAAAACGTAACCCCGGAGCTGAAAACACCCCCAGAAGCTGAGAAACGAGGGAACCCCCTCACGGCTGGTGAAGCCGTGCTGCCGGTGTCAGGCGGTGCGAGGACTCACTTCCAGGGCGGCTTCTTAGCCAAGAGGACCCGACGGGACGGTGCCCCGGCTCCTGACCCCGCCTGCACGGGGAAGGCACCATCCGCCTTAAGTGCCTGATGAGAGCGGGGCAGGACCCCATTGCTAGACGTGTGGAGGTCAAAGCAGCCATGCATGTGCCCCGTCTGGGACCACCTGCTCTCAGGAATTCTGCCGGGACAACGCACAGAACCTCAGTCGCCAGGTCTGGGCCAGGCCTTCCCCCTCACCTACAACCTGTTCTCCCAAAGGCTGAACCGCACGAGCCTCGTAACCAGCATCACTTACACCTTCTATGCCAACGAGACCACCTCAGAGAGGGAAGAGTGGCCCTGACTGTAAACGCTGTCACCCAGTGTGACTCAGCCCCACGAGGCCAGCCCAGGACAAAGGGCGACTCCTCTCTGCTGCCGTCCACCCATCACAGCCAAGCCTCAGCATGTGGATGGATGTCACCGGCAACCACCCACCCGTGTGACTCTCCCCTTGCGAATAAAACAGGAGAGGAGTAACGACTCTGTCCCTGCACACGGGACCTCCTCTGCTGGGGCTCAAACAGATCAAACGCACCCATTTGACCTGCCTGTCCCGTTTTCTTTTCCCAGGCTGCAAACCCCCCAAAATCCCAAAAGCTAAGACCAAAACAGCAGCTGGAAGCCCCTCCCCACGGAGGGACAAGGACTGGGAAGGGCGAGCCCAGCCTGGGCAGCTCTGCAAACCTTTGATCCTTGGATTCCCAGTTTCCCAACATGAAAACCTGAAGGACAAGTTCAAACTGCCCTCCACGCCCACTGCGCTGAGTCAGAGAACCTCTTCTGAGACGGGGAGGTGAGGCTCTGGCCAGTCAGCCCAGGTGGGACACCAAACCAGACCAAGAGAGCAGGATGCCGCAGAGACACGCAGAGGCTGGGGTGTAACCAAGCTGTGCCCGTGCCGCCCTCTGCGTGGGCCAGCGTCTCCCTCGATAAGGATGCCCAGTAGACAGACCAGAGCCAATGGAGCCCTGGCCCTTCCTGCCGGCTTCCATGTTCTTAATTCCATAAAGAAACAGGGAGGAGGGCACAGCTCAGGGATAGAGCACGGGCTTAGCACACATGAGGTCCTGGTTCAGTCCCCAGCTCCTCCTCTAAAAATAAAACCTATCTCTTCTTCGCCTTTTGGCTAAGATCAGTGTAAAAATAAACCTAATTACCTACCCCCATCAAAAAAAAGGTAAATTTTGTTATGTAAGCTTCAGCACAATTTTTTTAAAAGGAACACAAACACACACACACAGAAGACCCTGTAAGTTAACAATGTCCTATGACAAAGGCTTCCTTTTACGATTTAAATTTACTACTTTTATATTTTAAAAAAAAGTCCCACTGGATTTAGGGGACTGTCACTGAGTCACTTTCTCACCTTTTCAGGAGTGCAACCAGTTGACAAGGCCGGCTTGTGCTCCCCAAAACCAGAGCGCCTTCGCCTGAAATAAAACAGAAAACGTGTTTTGCGGCTGAATAATCTTTCATTCAGATAACTATCACCAAGCGGAAAACACGTCACCTCCTAGAGGGCACCCAGAGGAGCCTGAGCCCCTGGCTAACGGAAGAGGCAGAGAACCACACAGCTGAGAATGTGACCCACACGCTGTCCCTGGTCCCTAACTGCCGCTTTTAATTACAGCATAAATATTTACATCTAAAACACACAAACAACGTTGTTCTGTGCTCCCAGGCACACCAGGCTAGTAGCTGCAGCCCACAACTAGCAGCAGAATATTCCCTCCATTGGCTGGTTTTTACCTTCAAAGCCATCACTGAATATCTAACCCCCCCAAAAAAACAGCATTAAAAATGTTTAACATTTGTCCATTACGTTCAGGTTCACATGTACTGTTACCACAATATCATCTGTAGCTGTCTGCATGTTCAACTCTCCATCTTAAATTATATTTTTAAAGACGGTTTTTTTAAATCTACATCAGTAAACTAGGAAGGGAGGCCCCTACTATTTAACACACAGGCCTTAGGTGATCATGGTTTTCCAGCATGTGAGTAATTCCTGGCATTCTAGTTGTTCCGTCGGTGAACCTGCGCCCCGAAAGGGCAGGGGGAGCAGCTCGCGGGGCTGGGAACAGCGACCAGCAGCAGCACAAACGCCGCAGGGGGACGCGGGACTCTGGCCCGGCGGGCAGACCCGGGGGCCCGGAGGCCCCAGCCCGGCGTCGGCCTCGCGGCCCGGACTCACCGGCGGGTCCGCCCGCGCGCTCTTGGGTCCTCGACCTTCCCGCGGCCCGGGACCCGGCGGGCGGCAGGCGGCGAGCGCGAGGGGCGGCGAGCCC